CTCGTAACTCTTGCGATTAGTCGTGACACGTGTAATTTGCCTGATTTATTACGCCGAACCGTCCGTCGGGCGACGCGTCGAATTTTCCGCGGGGGTGGCCTCCGCGAATTCCCGGCGGTTCCGTGCCAAGACACGACGCTCGGGAGGACAGGGTCCGATCGCACGCGCGCGGAACGTTGCTGCCGGTGCAGGCGTCCCGGAAAAATTGCTCGTGACGGGGGCAATTAACACTTTTACCCACCGGATGCCGGCTAATAAACCACGCCGCGTTACAGGGGAACCCGGCAATCTTCTTGAAATATTAACGTCGGCGGAAGTAACTGGTTTACGTTGCCGAGGACGACTCGTCGATACGCGAGTGTAATTGCTATCGCCATTGAAAGACTGCCCGAGGAGTCTCGCCTATTAATCTTCGATTTCTAAAAGGCCATTACATCGCGACCGGGAGGAAAAGCGTTGCAACTGATATTTCTGAAAGGAGATTGAATGGTCGCGGTAATTATTCGAACAGGCGTGTATCGGTATTTAACTCTGGTACGCTGCCGAGATAAATAGCCGCGCAGGCAAAGGTTAAACGCAAAAAACCGTTCAGCGGAAAAAGCGGTAAAATGCACGAGACCAACTGTTTTTATCCTCGTGCGTCGCGAATAATCATTATAAATCATACGAGGCGGAGTGCGTTTTCACTGGCAACGGTCGCGCGGAAATTTATTGCACGCGGAAACGCGTCATCCGAGTATCTGCCGTCGATCCGCGATCCTCGGCAGATACCCCTAAACATCGTCCCCAAATACAGTTAAACGATTCTTGCCGCCAACTTGTTCTCCTATTCGCAAAACCAACGATACGTTCTGTACGCGGGCACACGCACGCGCGCACACACGGTCGGCTAGTAAAACAGTTTTCCACGCCTCGCCATTAGCGGGCAGTCGCCGATGAATTATTCATTCGTCGTTTAGTAGAAGTAATCGTTAATTACCGGTCGATGATCAACCGTAATTGAATTGAATCGAAAAAGCCGAGTCGGAAACTTACCAAAGGTGGATAGAACGCTGAGCTGTCCATGCTGATGCTAGGGTAGGGCCCCTGGTCGGTGGTGGATGGCGTCGGCGTGGGGTAAGAGGAGTAGGAGGTCGCCGTGGGCGCTAGCCTGGGGTAGGCGCCCAGCGCGAGCCTCGCCGCGCTGTCGTACTGACAGCTGCAGACCGTTTGCCCGGTGACCGGGTCCGTCATCATGGGCCTGCCGTTCTCGCAGCAACCGGGCCCTGTCGTCCCGCCCACGGGGGTGCTCGCCCCTCCGGAGGCGGCCGCGGCAGCGGCGCCTGTCGTCGTCGACGACGACGGCGACAGCGCGCCCGGACTGAGCGCACCCCCCGACGACATCGCCGGCGACGTCGTCGTCGTTGGCTGTCCGCCGCTCACCAGCAGCTGGAATTACAAATGGTTCTCTCGTTAGGTTTATCTGGAAACTGAACGCCAACCGTCCTGTTGTGATTTTTCAAAATAATCGTATCAATTAGGGATCGAGCGGTTAATGGTCGGGTAAACGGAAGGGGGAATTTGGGTTTATCGCGACTCGTTATTGAGTTCGGGGCTTGGACTTTGTAATGGGAATGCAAATTCTGTAGGTTTTAACGGAGTAAATAATATTCTTTTTAGTCGTTGAAGGTTTTCCTCGGTTCGGTCGGCTCTTTCTAGGTCAGGGAGCTGATTTTATTGCTTCTGAGTATGTTGCGTGGATAATTTCCGAAGAAAAGACATTAAATTCGTCGATTTTTGTTCTCTCGACTTACACGCGTTGGCTTCTGAGCGACTGGTACGTACAGATGTATGTGTATATTGGACGTTGGTATTTTGTAATGACAAACTTGTTACGGAAATTGGAAAATTATAACAGGTTTGGTTTTTTATTACTTTCGTATCGTGTTCGGTTGAAAGTGAATTATAATTGTTGTCGATACGAGAGAGTAGCAAAGCGTTCTCTTATTGTCACATTAAATCGTGCTCGTAGAAGTGGCGGGTTACCAGTTTGCCGAGAAACTGCGTAATAGTATACGTAAGAGAACACTCGACGGAGATAACGTCGAACGAGATCTTGTCGACGAAACTGTAAGTGATAGTAAGATGAACTTGGCAACAAGGCAGATAATGAATTTAATTTAACAGATATTGAGAGGCACGCGTTGGGCAAATCGAAAATAAATGCCTTTCGAGTATGGTCTGAAGAAGCAGCTTAACTTAAGCCTACATAACATCGATGCCCATTCATCTGGAGTATCATAATCGGTTATAAATTCCATTGTACGGTCGCTCCCTTATGCGCGAGAGCCGTGTACGCTTAACGCGGCGAAATAACACACGACGTCGGGAAAAATCGTGGCGCGCGTTAATCACGCTCATACCGAAACTGGTTCATCCGTTCCTCCCGTTCGTGAATTTCCCCTGTCGCTTAATGCCGGTCGTATTATTGTTCATTATTCCAGCAAATGAAATACACGAAACGGCGCGCGGAGAAAACAGCGCGGCCGGTAAATCGTTCGCGAAAATAAATAACAAGCGGTTCGACCTCTTGAAAAATAATTCCAGCGTAAAGGGTTAATGGTGATAATGACGGTAATTTTGAAAGCAGGTGATAGGCCGCTTATCGGGCCGGATCCGATTATAAATGCGTGCTCGATAACTCGATAGCAATTTCGTGTTACTTTAATGGACGATAATCGGTGAAGGAGTAGCGGTATCTCTCGTTATTAAACAACAGATGACACTCGACAATTAATTCCTTAATAAGGATCGAACCGCGCCGAGTTTCGCAGTCATCGGGGGAAACGTATAATCTGTTCGAAAAAGTTTGCTCAATGAAACAGGAATTAAAGTTCCTTCTCTCTCTGGTTCCGGCATTTTTTCCCCTGTTTCAGTTGCTCCGGTTCCTGCCGCAGGTGAAATCGTGCGCGAGATCGCGGCGGACAGTGTCGCGATCGCGGCGCTTCGATAGCGATAATTGTCACATAATTTCGCGTAATGACGCGGCCTGCATTATCGTGAATACCGTTCTCAGAGACTCGGCCGAATAAATTAAACGGAAATTTATCGGCAGCGCGGAGGAAGTCAAATTGCTGGCAGCGTTCATATATCAGCGGAGCCGTGTTTGCACTTTCGCGAACCGCGGCTACAGCGCACACACGTTCCGCTCTCGGAAATTGAACCTCGTTATATGCTAATGCGGACATCGGACGCACGCGCGTCGTCGTCGTCGTCGTCGTCGTCGTCGACGTTCGTGGCCGCCGCCGCGGCCTCTCCCTCGGAACCCGCCTAAAAACGTTTCCCCCGTGGAAATGACCCCTGCCCCGCCGCCTCCCCATTTGTCACTGCTATCGGCGCGAAACTCGAACACGCGAAACAACCGGCCGACTTGGAACGATAGCAAATACCTTGTCGTGTACATGTATTCCCGCGTAATTGGTACAAGTCGAACCGGCCGGGGGAAAAAAACCGCCGCTCCTAACAATGGATTATTATGTTACTAGCGCCGTTGCGGTAAAATGTAAATAAACGCTGACAAACGAGCGCCGGCTCGCGGTTCTTTTCGGCCGTGCGTTCGTTACGTAAAGTGGAAAGGAAACGGCGACAGTGTTCTATGATTGGAACCGATCTTGGGTATTATTAGAATTGAACTTTCCTTGAATCGCCGGAACAAATAAATAATCAACCGTTATTCCGCTTGTTCGTTATTGAAATTATTCGATAATCGTGCGGGAGAACTGTATTTATTATCTTGCTGTTCGCTAGTTGGTAACGATCCGATGAAATTTCTTCGTTGCCTCGTGCAACGTCCGCTCGACACACGGTGGATCGCTGTGATAAGACTTTTTCTGGCCGGCGAAGTACATTTCTTCGAATTCGAACTTTCCAAGATGCACCGCCGACGTGTTTGGAAAGTGTAACTGCGATCTTTTCGATAATAAAAGTTCGCCCGACTTCTGCGTAAATTGTAATGCACGTGGGTAAAATGTGTACACGCGATCGAGGACTCCGCGGTTGAAGGAGAAGATACGGTGAAGATATTTTCGGTTCGACGTGGTTGGCCGGCGACCGTCAGCTCGAAACGCGCACGCTGGAAAGTATCGATAATTAGTGCCGCAAACGAACATCGTGTCTATGTAATTGAACACGCTCGTAATTTGCATCATACGCGGAGTCGAAGAAATCGAGATCGGTTATCGCGCAAGGAGAACGAGACACAGTAGCGCTGGCCGCGGTGACCGCTTAATTAAACTTAATAATCGCTACAATATACAACCGCTAAACAACCGGCAAACAAAAGAAAAAGCACGGTGCCCGTCTCGTGCTGGTTAGAAAACCGTCGTACCTGTTGCGCGTCGATAAAAATGTAACTCGGATAAACGAACGCCGAATGCTAATCTACACGGGATCGATAATAAACAGGGCAGCGCGCCTTAATTGTGGATCGCGAAATAGCATACGTAATAATTGCCCGTAAATCAATCCGTTATAGAGCCGTGTCTCCTCGCGAAATTCCGTCGCGGCGCGGATCGTCTTAAAAGCGGCTGATCTTAAATATTCAGAAACTTCCGTTTCATTTGAATAATTATGCAGTTCCGAAGCTTTGTATTTATGACAGTTCCCAGTGTCGTGCTCGTAAATAGCCTTTTTTCGTGCTCCTGGGAAATATGGAGGCCTTTTATTAACATGAATACAGATGGCCTCGTGTTTTAGGCGAGGGTAGTTTAGGGGGTGTACAAGATAACAAGAGTTACGCCGGAGATTCAGAAGAGGAAAAAAAGACGAGGAGATCGGCCGAGTCGCTTGCAAGTTGATTTCGTTTTTGTCACAGGCGAGAGGCCACTCTACGGAGTGCTCTTAGGCTCTCGTCCCTGTCGAGAGGCTCCATCTTTCACGCGTGGCACTCGCAAGAAACCCGGAAGAGCCATCGCGCATCGATGTTAACGAAGCCTCGTGCTACACAGACGCAACAGTCGAGAACAATGATCTCGAAACAACTCGAAACTCCGATCTAAATAGAATTCCACGATGCGGTTTAGGTTCCTGCACCGGGAGCAAAGCATCAAATTGAAACTGAAATCGCAATCTCGGCCTCCCTCGAACTCGAACTCTGAAAACCTCGCGTCGTCCTCCCCGTCGAGCGAATTTTCCCTGCCCGGTTTTTCAAGCTCCATCTGCACACCCGCAGCCGGCTGAACGCAACAACCCCGAGTCGCGATTAATCGCTTCATGGGCTCGGCACAAGGAGTCCTCATCGTCTGTTTCGCCAAAGCGGGAGAGACTCGCTTTGAGAGGGAGTGGTTGCGTACATATATCGCGCAGGCTTCGCCGCGGTAAATTAGCTCGCGGTAAATGAGGATGAAATGAATCCTCGTAATTAATACGGCAGGAGAGTTATTTCGAGAGAACGAGCCTCGGAGCGAGAAACCGGGAGGAAAACGCCGGGGGGGAGGAAAGGGAGAACGTCGGTGTATCGTCGCGTTGATGAAGCGTCTTCCCGTGTATTCCGGTCCCTTCGAGCAGGGAAGATCGCGACGGAAGCGTCGGGAAACGGCTCTCGGAACGCGACAGCGCCTTTCTATTCGTAGATCGGTGTCGAAACCGGTGGGACGCCCACGGGAAACGTGATAAATGGGATCAAGGAAAACATTATTTCTCGCGCACGATTTTCCCGCGGCGCTTTGTTTTCGCTTCGTCCGGGTCGCGCGGGAAGAGGCTCGATCGACAAAGGCGGGGGAGGAAAAGAAAGAAAGAAAGAAGGAAAGAAGGAAAGAGGAACCGGGACGAAGATACGGGGAGTCGTCGCCACTGTTTTATCGTTTTCGTTTCGTTTCGTTTCGTTTCGTTTCGTTTCGTTTCGTTCCGTTTCGTTTTTCTTTTTTATTATATCGCGACCGTATCTCTAGCAGCGCGGACGTGTTTACGAAAAACGGGATTCCACGTCGCGTTAAATAGTCGTAAGATATTTCGACGCCCGTGCCGGACGACTACAAATTTCACCCCGATAATTTATCGCCGGCGATACCTAAATAGCGTCCCGCCGTGAAATTGGACGACGTGTCGCCGATCATCCGAGATGATCCGC